TCACAGTCATTGGTTGTGCAGGATATTTACAAGGGGTGGAGGAACTCTCAGTGCTGCCGATTCTCAGGTAGTAGACATCGTCATTGTTGCTTTTTTGCACTTCTTTCTATCATTTGAGATTGTTATGGTATGGAGGAAGGTCATGACTACTAGTATAATAACATAAAATTTATGCACAAACCAGTTGTAAACTTTACCATAAAAATTGCATTTTGCTGAAAAAGTAATATATAAAAAATGTTTTGCTGGAATAAATGTCATACTTCATTTGCCATTATTATTTTTAAAAAAATCATGCTGTTTTCAATTTGGAATTTTATGTGTGTTTGGTGTGCACTGTTATTAAAAATAGCGTTGGAAATTATGCTGGTGACTTTTCTTTGGTCTTCTGATTTTTAAACAAAGACTTCTACCAGATCTCCAAACCAGGATACTAATTAAAACTACACAATGATGTCAGTTCAACCTCAAGTCTTACTAATGCAAGATGCTGAAGTGATTGTTATAACTTGTTGATCAATCTGTAGTCTCCAGGGCCAGACTGGGACAAAAAATAGGTCTGGCAATTTTAGACTGAGCGGCCCAATCATGTGATCCCCGACAAGCCTATCCCGGTCACAATCCAGAGCGGAGCAAAACACAGAAGCACAATCAAAGGGCGGGGCCAGCCGCTGGTAAGTACAGGAGGGCTACAGCTGACACACAAGTCTTGCTACAACCAGCATACAAACCTTGCCAGACTATGAAAAACTTTGCAATAATCATCATACAAACCTTGCAACAATGCAGGACGCTTGCTACAGAGAAGTCTTGTGAGATCTCCACCTCTCCAGCAGTTCTCTGTACCCCAAGCATGGTGTACAAGTAGGTGCTCCAAAAAAAAGCGCTCACAATTCTCCAGCAATGCCTCCATAATACCACCTATTCTATATAGTGGCAAACTACAATAGCACCGCACTGACAGCTTTTGGCAGATCTTTCAAGCGGGGACTGTACTGGCTGAAATACATAATTTCCGCTCTAAAGCTTTATGTGTACCAGAGAATTCTGACACTCAGGTGGATGCTCACAGAATCTAGAGCGGGCGTACGGGTAATAAAATGCGGGCTGCCAGGAGCACAGGTAGCTCTTTAATTAGGCAAATTAGGTGGCCGACTAATTTGCCTAATTACGGGACAATATATATACAGTATAGACTCTATGGGTGGCATGCTCTATAAGGGAGAGGCTGTTATCGAATAAATATGGATCCTTGGTGTGCAAATAAGTATTCAGTAAGCAGGAACCTTTAAAAAAACTTATTATAATAATATTATCACCCATCTATATTACTATTACCCATCTTCCACAATGGTGTTACTTACTGAGTATTCTTTACCTCCAGAGCTGGCAAAGTTGGCTAGTTGTCTTCGAGTCCTCAAAATCCCATAGGTGGACTGTGAAAGTGAAAGATGAGTTATTGGTGGCAGGCTCGCTGCCGTACTGATCGTTGACCATACGAGGACCGGCACACCGGCCTCCTAGCACCTTTGGCCACACCCCGCATTAGCCCTGGAGACATGTTCCCCCGCAGAGCCTGCAGCCCCAGCTCTGCCGATGACACTTTCTTCTCACACTCGCCCACCACCTCCTCATAGGACAACAAGCAAGCCAACTCAAGATGGTCTGAACCCTTTGTCCCTGCAGCCTTTGCCCCTCAGTCTGGCCCCTGTGTTCTAGGTCTGGCCCATATGCTCCCCCTGTGTGTCTCCTCAGTCTCGCCCATGTGTCCCCTCAATCTGGCCCATGTGTCCTCTCAGTCTGTCCCTAGTGTGTCCACTAAGTCTGACCCATGTGTCCCCTGTGTGTCTCCTTAGTCTGGCCCCTGTGTTTCCCAATCAGGTTCTCGAGTGACCAGAGAACACAAAGGGCCTGAAAGGGGCACAAAGGGGGACATCTCCTTCTCCCTATTAAAAAATTGAGGGTTGGTTGATGGTGGTCCCCTCTGACTGTTGGAGTCCTAAAAATTTGAAAACTGATATCACCCTGGAAATTCTCAATTAATGAGCATCACGCTCATTAATGGCATTAACACCAGGCAGATTTATAACCGATAGATCAGCAGGAAATATTAATTATTTGGTACATAGAGCTCAAATGCACTCACAAACTTTTAGTGGATAAGGCCCATTGAGGCTTGCAGAGTAAAGAACTCTTTCAGAGTTTTCATCATCTGCTGTATCCAGTGGCTGGGCTGTGGCTGTTGGTATCTACCACAGGTGCTGCGAATTAGAAGACACTTCCAGTGCGATCTACAACTCCATCCACATCCTGGCAGGTCTTGGAACGCATTTCTGGTTCTATTTTCCCTTTCTTAGCAAGAACAATTGAACTATATCTTGCTCCTAATATACTGGATTATTTATTATTATAGTAATCCCAAGAGCAAGCTTGGCTACAAGATACAACATACACAGATTAGTCAGAATATTTTTTTACCACCCACCATATTGAGTAGGTTTGCCACCAAAATAACCCCGATCTGTCAAGACATGGACTCCGCTTGACCTCCGAAGGTATGCTGTGGTATCTGGCACCAAGCCGTCAGTAGCAGATCCTTTAAGTCATGTAAATTGCACAGTGGGGTCTCCATGGATCAGACTTGTTTTCCAGTAGATCCCACAGGTGTTCGATTGACGTGAGAGCTGGCAAATATTGGTGCCAAGTCAATAACTTGAACTTGTTGTGTTCCTCAGACAATTCCTGCACCAAATGTAAAAAATGTGCAGTGAAGCAGGGCACATTACCCTGCTGAAAAAGGCCACTGCATCAGGGAATACTGTTTCTATGAAGGTGTGTGCTTTGTCAGTAACAATGTTTTGGTAGGTGGTATATGTCAAAGTAACATCCACATGGGTAGCAGGACCCAAGGTTTCACAACAGAACATTACCCAAATCATCATACTGACTGGCTTGCCTTTTTTCCATTGTGCATTCTGGTGCCATCTCTTCCCCGGGTAAACAACACACATGCATCCAGCCATCCACATGATGTAAAAGCAAAAAGGTTCATCAGAGTAGGCCACCTTTTGGCAGTGGACAGGGGTCAGCCTGGGCACCCTTACTGGTCTGCGGCTACGCGGCCCCATAAACAAAGAAAACTGTGATACACTGTGTGTTTAGACACCTTTCTATCGGAAGCAGGATTCACTCAGCAATTTGAGCTACAGTAGCTCTTCCATTGGATTGGACTACACAGGCAAGCCTTTGCTCCACATGTGCACCAATGAGCCTTGTCCACCCATGACCCTGTCGCTGATTCACAGGTTTTCCTTCCTTGGACCACTTTTGGTAGGTCCTCACTGTGACGTACGCCTGGCCCAGACCCGCTGTGCATCAATCCCACGCGACCATACACAAGTCTGAACCGAGTGTGAGCGTCACAAGGACGTGGCGATAGCACTCTCAGCCTCACCCTGCGCAGAGATTTCCCAGCTCACAGGACACAATCTCAGGCCAGCAGACTGAGAGCGACCGTCACCAGGGTTGGTTAACTCCGCAGTTAACCCTTTACCCACCAAACTTCCACTGCCACCATGTGTTTTTCGGAACACAAACCGTGCCCAGCAAATGCTGCGACTATGCATAAACGGCCGGCCGGGAGCTTCCTGCATGTAACAGGCCGTCTATCTCTGCTTCATCAGCTTCTTTGGGGGTCCCTAGGTGACATTAGGGGTCTTGGAGACATATCTTTGCTATCACATAGGGGGTTCTTAGCCCCCTATGTGTTAACAATAAAGTTAAGTGGAAAAAAAAAAGTTGCAAAAAAAATTCTCACACCTAAAAGAATAAGAAAAACACAATTCTTTTTTTTAAAGTCCCCACCCATACATACACGCGTGCAAACATGCGTAGGGTGCGCATACGTGCGAAAACGACAATTGCGCCCCTTACACCGCACATGTTACATATCGCCATGAACGTCGCAGTGAGAGCAATAATTGTAGGGCCATTAATCACTGATAGCACTAAACTGATGAGCTGTAAAAGCTTTTAAAGCGTCGCCTATGGTCAATTTTGGGTATGGTAGTTTTTGGCGATTTCGCGGGTGCGCGCAGGGGGACCCCCTGGGAAAGCACCTTGTCACCATGTTGATTAGGATAAGTGTCTCTTCCCCACCCTGGCCCGGTGGTTGTGGGGGTCTGTGAGCTTAGCTAAATCTAGGTGCCCCTGTCGGGGTGGGGGGGTTAATAAAGGACTGTGTTTTTTCAAATAAAAGACTTTTGAGGATGGTGTGGTGTTTTTTTAAAAACGATTTTACTGTTATTTAGTGAATGAGTAGGGGGGTAACAACTACCTTACTCATTCACAAAGAGGGGGGGGGGCAGAGTGGCCTCTGGTATCACCCAGATTCAGATAAGACCCCCCAGCCCACAGACCCCCACACAACATAATTGGGATGCAGCATCTAGCAAGAACAACCACGGCGTGCATCAGAGGACACACCGGGAAGTGTCAGATACCAGAGATGTATGCTGAAGCTCTGCAACAACAACAGATTGGACGCACCGCTCATTGAACAGGAAAGTATTAATAATCCTCTTTCACAGAGTGCTTCTGTTGCAATTTATATTTCATTTTCTGTTATCCAGAAAGGATAACATGACTTGGCTTCGTGTCTTACCATCACAGTCATTTGACAGGCCGTTAATATTAAACAACAAATTGTGGTTCATATTTTTATTATCAAATTTAAGTTATACAATTATCTTATTCAAACATTATGTGACAATCTATCAGCTGCTTTTGGTGTTTTAAGACACATTCACATTATCCTTTCAGTACATTATCAGCAGTATATCAAGGCTAGAGAAAGAAAATAGTTTTGCATAGTATGTTAAATCAGTATTAATCCTATATTATTCAGGGTTAGCATGGCATTGCCAACATGCACAAAGGTTATGTCCAAGCTGAATATGTCTAACAGTGGCTTTCAACGTGAAATGCAAGAAGAATATCAGCTTAGTATTAATTCCACTAGGACCGCTCACAGTTGTGCATAGCACCAAGTTCACCTGTCACCCACATAACTTGCCAGTTTTATATATACATAGGGACCACAGTTCATTGAGAACTTTATTAAGGGCAAGTTGCAATCTGCATCCATGCTCAAGCCAACACATTATAGCGATGCCAAAATGGAAGAAAAAGTTCCACTTGGTATGAAAATGGGTCAATAGTATTGTAGTCTTCCATGTCTTGCTGTATTAGTCCAGGGTCTAGGCAAAGATGTGGTTGACACTCCATGAACTAACTGTCCTTGCAGTCTTATAGGTGTTGCAGTTCCTGGTGACTGAAATGAGGTAAGATTGGAAGACTCTCTGTTTCTGTTCTCTTCAGCAGGAAAAGCTCTTTGTCTCATTAGCAACATTGCTGGAGTGTCCTTTGTTGTCCATCTTTTGCCCTTTTAGGAAAGAAAAAAATCACATATTACTCAGCTTGTTGATGAATGTATGAATGTATACCTGAAAAGGTGATTATCTTATAGTATTAAAACATTTCTCCACGAATGTGGCTGGAAACACTGCTGCAGTGTTGCCAGTTTTGAGTCCCAACCTTTCATACCTTGACCTATTTAAAATCTCTACCTCCCTCTCATGCATGACTTACCCCTATAGGCACGTTTCTCCCTATGAAAAGTTAATTGCATCCTTGTGTACTCACTTCTATATCCACATCACCCCACTGCCGCACACCTCCAAATCAACTGTACACACTGACGCTGCTGCTCTCCCATGAAGCAAACCTCCCACAGCTGCCAAGTTAGTTACCACACTCACCTTTGTCCCTCCCATGCCACTTCACCTAGTAGCCACCCCATGCTCCTCTCTCACTAGAAAACCATCCACAGCTGCCAAGGTACCACAACACCCCTCCATCTCTCCCAGCCACCTCAACCAGTGCCAGGTTACAGCTCTCCTCTCTGTCCCACCTCAGCCACCTCACCCATTGCTTACAGCACTCTCCCATGTTCACAGCACATTCCCTACTTGACCACCCCACCTCTGGCTTACCCACCTCCAGTTCCCAAGAAACTGCAATGACTCCCTACCACTCTCAGAGCTATATACTAACAATCTGCAGTCATCCCCACTTGCCAGCCTGCATTTGTGAATATGATTTGCTTTTCTATCCTAAATTCAAAGCATTTGCAAGAACACATGTGCTAGTCCTTATAAGGCCCTATGTGCGTATGACTTTATGTATAATCTTGCTGGCTGGAAGCTTTATTTATTACAGGTATTTATATAGCCCCAACAATTTTTGCACAGTGCTTTACATTCACATCAGTCCTTGCCCTCAAGGAACTTTCAATCTAAGGTCCCTGTCTCATATGAGGGCCAATTTTTAGACAGGAGCCAATTAACCTACCAGCATATTTTCATAGTTTGGGAGAAAACAGGAGTACCTGGAGGAAACCCACAGGAGAACATGCAAACTCCTTGCAGATAGTGTCCTGGCCGGGATTTGAACCAGGGAC